GTTTGAAGCCAACTCGTGTTTCATGAGTAGACAAGGTTGTGTGGTGCAGGAAAGGAGGTGGGGTGGTGGGGGGGCACCAGCCGCCAAATGTTGGCTTGGCTGACTCCAAGAAGAAAATATCAAAAAGCCCTTTATGAGGTGCTGCAGAGAAGAAAGGGTGTTTTGAGAGCACCACCAGGCTGCAGGGGTAATTCCACTTTTTAAAATGTGCCTTGTGGTTACTTGCTTATCCCACCTGCCGCCTTTGCTGCACTGCTTATAGACCTTTTTTGTGCAAAACTCTTGAGTTGGCAGGACTTTGTGGGCCATGTCACATTGTGTGTGTGTTCTCCAGAAGTCCAGAATTTTGTAATTAGCACCTCCATCTGCTATTGGTAAATGCCAAAMTGTTTTTCATGTGTATGCATCATGGAAATTCACTTATGTCCACATCTGTTTCTGTGCTACATGAACCTCTGATATTTATGATATAAATGTGTGAATTTTTGGAGGAGTGTGTGTGTGTGCATGTCCGTCATATGGTTTGGCTAATTTGGCTTGGCTTCAGTTTTCAAACCTCCTGCTTCTCAGTCTTGTTTTCACACACTTTGTATCAAAAAACACCTTAGCTTGGCCTCCTTACAGTTATGTGCATCATTGTCTATGAAAACCTACYTATTGGGCATTTTGACAGCTGGTAAAAGGTGTTGCTTCAGCTCATGGTAAAGACTTTCCATCTAGCTCTCCTCTTTCTCGTTTTAGTTATTCCTAAGCTGTAGGTMGGTAACCATTCTGGGTACTTGCGTACCTCATATGGTAGAGACTTTGTACTCTTCCTACTGGAAACCTTGAACAGATCGTGTGACCTGTTGGGAAATAAGCGCACACTGACGAAGGTGCAGCAACAAGGGACAAAGAGAAGTGACTACAAAAGCTGTGACGGAGATCCTCCGGAAAGACTGGTACAGAAAAGAGGAAGGAAGCAAGTGTGCTCTGTGGGGCCTTGTRGCAGCGGAATCTGAGCGATGGCAGGAACATGTGGGCAGAGAAACAGAGACTTGAAGTGAAATACGCTGGCACCTCTGACAAGGGTGTGGTACTTTCTTTTCCTCTTTCATGAAGCCAAATTCTTCATGGAAACCTTTCAGTGCGCTTATGGTCATTCAGTTAGTTTCCTGCGGTGCTGTCGCCTCCGCCTTATTGTGGTGGGCCAAGGGCATCTTYAGAGATCCCAACTAGTATGCCAGGGATTCTGAAAGCCGACTGTTCACCATCCTTTCCCAATCTGGTGCCCGTCTGCTGCTAATATCTGTCCAGTACCCAACCTTTTTTTTTATTGAGCCCTACTGTGCCCTCTTCTKCCCCATTTTCAGTATCTCTGAGCAGTTTCAGAGACCATGGGGAATACTGGAAGTCAGTCTGGAACTTCCAAGAAAACTACTGATGTCAGTAAAAGCGTAGCATTACAARCTAAAGGTACATTTTGAATCTGTATATTGCATTTTCATACAATTGATAAAAGGGTTCAGAGAAGTGCAATGGAAAGTAGACCAGCAAACAAATGTAAAACAATAATGATAATAATAAYAATAATAAAAAAAATCAAGACTTTTGAACGTAAATAGGGTTGTTATCATAGCTTTTCCATGAAACACAGGAAGTGCATTGTCGTCTGCAGCCCTGCCTTCTGTAGTGATTTTATTATTTTATTTAATTTGTTTTCCATTTGAGATTTGACCATTGCTTTTTGAAGTATATCATCTCGTTGCAAGCTCTGCTGCTGCAGTTCTGCTAGGGAGTTTGCACCATCTCACTGTTAAAAATTGCGAAASAGTAGTGGACGGAAACAGTGAATGGAAAGCATATGGTAGGTGATAAAAAAATCCACTCATTCATACATTTGGATGAAAACTTACCTATAAACAGACTGAAGCATAAAAATACCTCTCTGAAGCTGCATGCACTTAATGTTCTCAGACTGAAACAGCCTCTCCCTCTCAYATGCCAGGTCACACCGAGTCATGTAAACAAAATGATCAAGACTGTTGTGAAAGAATAGTTGTTATGTTGCTCAGGAGTTGCAAAGTCATGCTTTTACTCGTATACTGTAAACTAGGACTCTTTTCAGCTGGGTAAACAGCAGGCTGTTTTGATATTAACAGCAAATTCTGAGTTTTCAAACATTATCTTTTTTCCATTATGTCATTTTCTCCTCTATTTTATCTGTGGATCCCAAAGGGGAAGGCTGATCGACTCAGTTAACTTGACCTAGAATTTCATGCAATTGACCCAGCTAAAGTCACCTTCAGCTGAGCAGCTATTTCTGTCATATGCAGTTACATTTTGTATCTAATGAGGTTGTGGAGAGTGATGTACTGCACATCCCACTCAGTCTGAAGCATCTAACGTTAGTGGGGCAGATGGTTGTGTGTGCATTAGTGCGTGAGAGACTGGAGGATTAGGTTTGGTCAGTGCAGCTGGGCCACTTGTCCAGAGAGAGTCCAGCAACAAGGGATTAGGGCGTAAACTGATACTTAGCAGGAAGCAAACAGTGGCTACTGATAACGAAACTGTCCTGYCGTCTTACTTTTCCCCCTCTCCTCCTCCTCCTCCTCCTCCCCCAACAAGCGCAGCCACCCACCTACTCCACTCTTCTCATCTGTCCGTCGTCAGCTCTCTCTGGCCTCGGCCTACGGATTGTCATGCAAATAGCAGCCCAGGCCTCGGAGCGCTGATAAGGAGGGCCTCTCATTTTACAGGGCTTTGTTTTCTAAACAGTGATGAGCTGAGTTGAAGAGACAAGGAAAAAGGGGCTCTGAGTGGTGGCCTGAATGGGCCCTCTTACCGTGGCGCCCTGGGGTAAATAACACTAGGGATTTGGATGGAGATGGCTGAATGGGGCTCAGTCTGAGAGGTTGGTTCAGGAGTCATGTTCTCTGGCAGGAACCAGGCTCAACGTGTTGACAGAGCCTGATTTATTTTCTCTATCGCTGCTGTCTTGAGTTTTCTCCGGGATGGACTTTCTCTGTCTGGCTTTTTTTGTTTAAATCCGTTTAGACAGAGTCAGTCAATGTTCGTTACTTGACGCCACATATGGTTTGTCCTTTTGTAAAGGGGGTTGTCAGCGCTTGGTCTGGAGCCTCATTTGCTGATGTTATTATTGCATAAACAGTGGTTCATGGCACGTTCAGAGGGTTTCTGCTCTCTCGTTGACCCCACTGCTTTGTTATATTCTGGCCAGGGAGACATGAGAACTGCTGTAGAAACATTCAGCGAGTGTAAACTTCAGGTTGTAGATTGATTTGCACATTTGGCTTCAGGATTGCTCTAAAAACTAATAGAAAACATATTTGCCTCTAGCGAAGAAAAAAAAGACTTCGTAAAGGAGGAATTTGTATGGATTGTGAAGAGTCAAATAAAAAAATGTATATGAAAACCAGATGTTGTAGCAGCAGGCAATAAATTAAAAATGTCTGAAACTTTCTGTTATAATCATTAATGAGGTTGTACTAGACCTAGCATAGCAGCTGTTAGAAAACTAGAGCTCATGATCAACTTGGTCTTGAACAAGACCTGCCCTGAGGAGCTGAACCCCACCCCCTCTTTGCACTTCTTTCCATTTGCTTCTTTTTTTTTCTTTTTAGAATCAAATTCTTTGTTTTACGCCAAACCCCCTCCCAAGCTTTTTGAAGTCTCCCCTCTCTTGTAAAAGAAGGCCAAGCTGGTGGTGTTTGGGTTGGAGACAAAGAAGGAGGGGGATTGTAGGTTAAGTTTAAGGCGAGCCCTCTGTGCTTTCCATTGAAGGTGCGAGTGGGGGGAGGTGGGGGCAGTAAAAGTTAGAATTTTAGAGCCTCCCTGTTTTTCTTTTTATGATTGGCCTTTTTTTTATGGGCTGAGTGCTACAGCTGGCGGTGTGAATAGCTGCCCAAGGTGACCGAGTCCCAATAAAGCGCTGGCCAGCCGGGCTGGGGCCTCCAGTCCAGCCATGGGACCATCTTTATAGGCAGCCTTATGAGCTTAGGCCTCTGTTAAAACCTGGTAGGGCTGCACTGAGGAATTTAGGGCCAGGAAACAAGAGGAAAATAGGGGTTGTGTGTTACGGGTTGGTAGGATGCAGAGTTGGGGGTTGAAGTTAAAGGCTGACCAAGGGTGAAAGTTTTTATTTTATTTTTTTTGTTAGGGGGGATGTGTGAGCTGGAGAGTTTGTCCASACTGGCATGTGTGTCGAAGTTCTGGTCCCATGCAACAGCTTTTGTGTCTGAGGGGAGCTATAAAATCTATACACACCTACAGTCTGTGCTGTATGAATTTGTGCAGTGTATGGGGTATATATATGTGGTTCTCTTTGTCACATAACGAAGTGTAATGTACCATAGCAAGTATGTGACATGAGGAGACATTGGCGTCACAGCTGGGCTGTAGTTTGAATGTTTGAAGTGAAGCCTTACACCGTTCCTGGGAGCCTGTGTAGTTCCGTGGCTTTTCTGTGCATTTTAAGGCGTGTGTGTGGAATGAGGAGAAGCCAGCTCTGACCTTTTTTGTTTCAGTAGCTAATTCTAATGCCTATTTTTATCAGACAAACCACTTGTCAATCAAAAAGCGGTTGCTTCTGCTTAATGTAATAAGTTGTCAGACAGATCAACTAATGATATCCACAATTATGAGTCCAAGAATGGCTTCATTGGTAGGTTATTAGTATCAGGAAATTCTTGTTTAAACAGCGAATTGTATCTATTTCAGGTTGTAATCTGATCAGTTTTGTCCCACAGACAGAAATGTCATTTATCTTTAAATTTATGGCTAAATGTTTACCCATTCTGTCCAGAATTTGGAAAAGAATCTGTCTCAGCTGTCATGTCTGAGCACATTTAGACACACTGAACCAAACATACCTGCTCCCTAACGTGACAGGTGCACATGAGCCATTTGTAAACTGAACTGAAGCATCTGGAAGACGATTAGTGTCAGATTGCATTTTCATGTGTTCATGTGCTCTTTTCTTTTCTTTTTCWCTTTCACAGCGGTGGAGACCCAGAGCACCAGCTCAGAGGAGATGGTACCCAGTTCTCCGTCTCCCCCTCCTCCACCTCGTGTCTACAAGCCTTGCTTTGTGTGCCAGGACAAGTCCTCAGGGTATCACTATGGGGTCAGCTCCTGTGAGGGCTGCAAGGTGAGGAAAAAATAAACTTCTATGTTTTTAGCTCAGTGGAACAAGGGTTTTAATTTATTACATACATCTATGCAGTAGCCKTTTTTTGTCAAGTTAAAAAAAGGGAAGAGCCTCATTGGCAATCTGCTCAAAGTTAAATGTCACATCCTTTGTTTGATAACTATTCTAACCATTTTCTTTCTCTTCTTTTGTCCTTCGCTTCCTGCTGCTTCAGGGCTTCTTCCGCCGCAGTATCCAGAAGAACATGGTGTACACCTGCCACCGAGACAAGAACTGCCAGATTAACAAGGTCACACGCAACCGCTGCCAGTACTGCAGGCTGCAGAAATGCTTTGAGGTTGGCATGTCCAAAGAAGGTGAGCCCRATATGACTTAGGAGATTGAAAGACCGAAATTTCAAACGGGGTTAGACGCTTGCATCCACATAAGGGCTTCACACTTGAGGTTGTTTAATCACACTTCTAATGTTCAGCCAGAAACTTTATAGAAACTACGCAGCAGGAATACAGAAGCAGATGATGAGTCTTCCAGAGGGTGATCAGGGCGAGGCTGGGCACTGACACAATCATATGACTAATCGCTTTACAAAATGAATCTGACTTCCTGTTTCACCACAAAACCTTATCCCTCTGGCCAGCGAAACGTACACTGTGTTCATTTATGAGGACAACACAGAAGATAGCATGATTTAGAATCGTGACAAAGATGTTCGCAGCAGCAGGATTCGAGCTGTTTGCAGAATCAAAGACCCCAGTTATGTGCCCTCTTTATTTTGGACCGCTGGGTGTACAATAAGTGGCAGCATCTCGCCCTTTTACAGAGCYCACGGGACATGTATGTGGGTGTAATGTTTGTGTGGGATGTGTGTTAAAACCGGGATCACATTGTGCCTCTGCTATTACTGGATATCCTGAGAGGAAGGAAAGTATGGGAGGCGGATGAGGGAGAGGAGGCAGTGCAGGAGAGAGTGGACTGGCTTATGTGCATTGGTGGATTGATAGATTGACATGAAAGCAAGTGGATGATAAAACTCTGTCCCTTTAAAAGCAGCGCCTGCTGCTTCGAAGTTTTTGTTTTCTCTAGTTGCAACACACAAGTGATAATGACAAGATAAACATGCTGTACATTTCATTAGAGATAAGAACAAATATTTTGTCGGTAATATTTAAAATTTCTTAAAGAGAAGTTTCTGTTGACTTTTTTCCCCCTTACTGCTACAATCTTTGCTTTTTTTTCATGTAGCGGTGCGTAATGACAGAAACAAGAAGAAGAAGGATGTGAAGGAGGAGGTGGTGCTTCCTGAGAGCTATGAGCTTAGTGGAGAGCTTGAAGAGTTGGTTAATAAAGTGAGCAAAGCTCACCAAGAAACCTTTCCGTCACTTTGCCAGCTGGGAAAATACACCACCGTAAGTCACGCTTGTGATGTTAACTTGCTGCAACGTATTCCACTACACAAAACTCACAGGAACATAGTTTCACCTTTAAAATGTTGCAACAAAGTGGTAGCTTAACTAGTTCAGTTCTCCATTAAGTCTGCTTTGTGGYGTCTGGACAATTGATAAAACATGCAAAGACGTTTTTTGTTTTTCACGTGAATGATGGAAAATGTAAATGTGTTGTAAGGCTCTGACACATTTAACATTGATGCAAACAGGGTTGCACACTTCCTGTGGTACAACACGCTAAACTGTGTGCGTGTGTGTGTGTGTTTGTGTGATCAGAACTCCAGCTCAGACCACCGTGTTCAGCTGGATTTGGGACTTTGGGACAAGTTCAGCGAGCTCTCCACCAAATGCATCATCAAGATCGTAGAATTTGCCAAGCGGCTGCCAGGTTTCACCACCCTGACCATTGCTGACCAAATCACTCTGCTGAAGTCAGCCTGCCTGGACATCCTGGTATAGAAGCTTTTAATCAAAAAGTCCTATGCCTCCTTCTTTTAATTGTATTCATAAATAAATGTTTATGCTGAGATTGTGCTGAGATTATGTCGGTATCTGGTGGGCAAAGGTGGTAGTACAAGAAAGTTTGTCCAGGTAATACTGACATTAAAAYCCATCACTGTCTTTTTCTTTTCTTACTTTGCAGCTATATTATATGTTTGCATGTTTTATATTTTATTTTACTCAATTCTCATGACATCTTCTTGTGTTTGTAGATGCTGAGAATCTGCACACGCTACACTCCAGAACAGGACACTATGACCTTCTCAGACGGCCTGACTTTGAATCGAACTCAGATGCACAACGCTGGCTTTGGACCTCTAACAGACCTGGTCTTTGCCTTCGCTGGTCAACTTCTGCCTCTGGAGATGGACGACACAGAAACCGGCCTCCTCAGTGCCATCTGCCTCATCTGTGGAGGTACTGCAGCTTCCACACACGCACAACATTTTTTTTTACTTGTTTGCAGAAGAGGAAGTTGGTTATGTGGATTTGTTTTGTTTTTGCAAACGTGTCACAAGATTAGGGATCTGGGGAAACACTGTCGGTTTTGTTCATGCATAAAGACGAGATATTTTATTTTTTGTCACTCATCAGACCGCAGTGATCTAGAGGAGCCCGAGAAAGTGGATAAGCTGCAAGAGCCTCTACTTGAGGCTCTTAAGATCTATGCTCGTCGCAGACGCCCCAACAAACCCCACATGTTCCCTCGCATGCTCATGAAGATCACTGACCTGAGGGGGATCAGCACAAAGGGTCAGTACTTCATTTTAAAACACAGATTCACACTTTTTTTACCACCTTCTGTAACTTCATTTAGATTTTTTGTAATATTGTAAAGATGCACCTGGTAATTATCTCCCAATGAACTCTCCCTGTCTCCAGGTGCAGAGAGAGCCATCACTCTGAAGATGGAGATCCCAGGTCCAATGCCTCCTCTGATCAGGGAGATGCTCGAGAACCCAGAGGCCTTCGAAGACCAAACKGAGTCTAACAAAAGCACGCCGCCCCCACCTCCGCCGCTGCCGCCGCCGGCAGCAGTCGTGGTGAAGCAGGAGGCCGAGGACGAGGACGACAGCTGGGTCACAGAAAACGAGCCGTCGCCGGAAGAGGAGGACGAAGACGACGACGACGACCTGGGAGACGAGGAGCGGGACCGGGGCTCGGACAGTGACGGGGAGCCCTGGGGGGTTTCGGATAACTCAGATGGGTCGAGGAAAGGCCTCGCCGGAAGGGCGCAGTGAAGAGAATATTTCACACACAGGCATATCCATACAAGTTGTAGACACACACACACATACACACACACACACATACAGCACAACCTCACTCACTCTTCCACGTCCAAAAATGCTGGCCTCCTCCCCTCCCCCCTCTCCCCTCCCCCCTCCAAACTCTGCTCTCCTTGCTGCACATCACTGTGTCTTCCTCGACGGAGCACAACAGGAGCCTTAAGTGTACAGACACCGTCTAACTCAGGCCACATGGTCCATGACTTGTAAACTGCAGAAAGAAGAAAAAAAAAACATATGAACTCCTGGCAAAGCCATGAGGGAAGTAAACATGACAGCAAAATAACAGAACCTCTTTGAAAAAGCTGAAAATTTCTTTTGTTTTCTTTATATTGTTGTTAATATCTGAATAGTGATACAGCCAAACCAGACTCCAGAACTGAGCAGTCGATTGCAACAAGCACATTACAACAAAAGTACAGGGCAAAACCAAATTGTGTATGCTAACCTTTTGTTTTTAGTTGTTACTGCTTTTTAATTATTCGTTCTTTTAGTTTTAATTTTTCCCTCGAGTTACAGAATAAGTCCATACATATCTATATAATGTCATATTTTTTGTCCTTTTTTATGTGTTTATTCTGGTTTTGTATTTGAATTCTTTTGGCAAGTTTTTTTTTTCCTTTTAAGGAGATTTCCTGAGAAGACATTCTGAGAGAAAGAAGGGTCTTCCTCACCAGCTACAGATTCTTTAGCTTCTCGGAGCACTTTTCGCTCACGTGTAGCTCTTTTTTGATAATCAACCCRGAGTTTCTACAAACGTTCATGTTGCATTGATGAAATTGATTTCTGTTATCAGGGAGTTGGCTTTTTTTTCCTATTTTGCCGCCATTGTAGCCAACGAGTGGCGTCAATGCGGGATGTATCTTTGTGCCAAAGTTAGTGGGGGGAATGGGGGGGGGGGGGGCTGTCTGCGGAGCATGAATCTGACTTCTGGCAGGGACTCCAGCTACAATCAGACAATACTAACTCTACACATAAGCTTACAAGGAATACACGCACACACTCCTTACACTTCCTTCTCAGAGGTAGCAGATGAGTGAGGACAGAGGTTTTGACTTATTTGTAGCACTTTTGTGATCCTGCGTTGAACTTCGGCACGCTTCATATTTTATGAGTAAAGCCACCGTCGCTGAGCATGTCAGAGCTGATGAGAACATCAGCATAAATGCAATCAACCTTATAGCACTCCCCAATTACATTGGATGAATGCTCATGTCAGCTTAGATACAAACATCCACACATAGGCTCATTGACACAAGGATTAAAGGCATATGCAAGCTGTAACAGGATTTTGTTTTTCTTTATTTTAATGAGAGACATTTTGGATCAGACTCAGGGCTTTTCAGTGAGGACCAAACACTAGCTGCTTTTTTTTCCCTAAGGCATGCTAGAATCAGGCAATATTTATGTGTTTTCTTAACTATGTGTGGATTCTCAAATCTCTCTGTGCGTACCAAGAAGGCAAACAAGTCTGAAACACAGCTTGGATGTCAGCCTGACTCTCTTCAGGGGGACGGAGCGTCGTCATCTTTATCATTACCTGCCTCCTGACTGCGATTGTGCTGGAATCCATGCAAAAAAAAAACAAAAACTGCCTTCTCATCCCAGAAGCCATTATCTCATCTTTGTCTTGTGTATATTTTTGTTTCTTTTTGAGGAGAAAAAAAACCAGAAGAATGTGTGTTCTCACTTCTTAATTGCCAAAATGTCAAAATGGGTGATCAGCTGGGGAAACGAGGCTGAGCTGTTGTACCGAGGTGTTTCTTTTTCTGTCTCTGAAGCAATATTCTCTTTGTAGCAGTGAGACTTGTCTTCTGAATGTGGGCAGGTTTTGTTCATGTTTGGTGTGTGTGTGTGTGAGTGTGACTGTGTGTGTGTAGATGTGTGTGTGTGTGTGTGCATGAATGCTTTAACATGTTTTCAGTCATCCAGGTGGACGTCTTCGGCATGGTGCTGTCACACAAACTCAAGTGTGACCATCTCATCTTATCGTGATGGTAATGCTGGCAAAACTTTGAGATTATGTTGTTTTAAGTATTTTTTTGTTTCGTTTTTTTTTTTTTTTTGCCAACATGGCCTTTGTGTTGCCGATCCTCTGTTTATGTCAACTGTTGTCATACAAAGAAAAGCCATATAAACAGTAAGAGGCACAATAAACTACTTTTGTGAGAGTGCTGGACTTTTTATTACACCTTCAGAAAGAACGCTTTAACTCACACCAACAGACGTCCAGCCAGCTGTTACCCAGTTGCAGCAGCAGAGAGAGCTCTTGCTCTGTGACTCCCAAGATCTGCAGAGTGTGGTGGTGTTCATTTCATGGAGGAGAGGAGTAGGGGGTTTGTAAGATCAGGGAAAGGGGGCGGTGGTGGCGGGGGAAGCCACGGCTAATAAATCACAGTCTCTGGCTGAACAAGGACATCAGATAAAAAGGTCTGTACCTAAGATTTGTCCTCACCTCTCAAAGTGAAGCACTTTTTCTCCAGTTTTATCTTGAGTTGTTAGAAAACTTTAAAAAGTTAATCTATTTTTTTTACGTTTTACAGAGAAAAGAGGAGCTGAGAATGATGGTTCAACAGAACAAAAAGAGTATTAAAGTCAGAATGAGATACTTAGATTGGCTGATGATAAAATCTAAAAAATTTCCACAATTATTTATATGTTGAAACAAACAAAAACTATATTTATATTATATTTAAGTACCTGGATTGTAAATTGATGTCATAAGGCAACAAAAAGAAAATTGATGCTTTCAGTCAGACGTTTGATATTTCAGCTTGTTGATGCAGCTTACTTAAACCTTAAATAGTCTTGAAATCAAACAAAAACAACCATATGTATGTATGT